TGTTTTATTAACACCAGCACTTTATGTGCTATATATATTATCCCTCATTGGCAACATTGGAATTTCATTGCAAAACATAATATTCAGGTGCTGGGTAGAGACACCTAAAGATTGCATTCTGAGTCATGCTAGTGGTGAGGGATAATATGCATATTTATTAATATAAGCATTGTTTTATTAACACCAGTACTTTATGTGCTATATATATTATCCCTCATTGGCAACATTGGAGTTTCATTGCAAAACATAATATTCAGGTGCTGGGTAGAGACACCTAAAGATTGCATTCTGAGTCATGCTAGTGGTGAGGGATAATATGCATATTTATTAATATAAGCATTGTTTTATTAACACCAGCACTTTATGTGCTATATATATTATCCCTCATTGGCAACATTGGATTTCATTGCAAAACATAATATTCAGGTGCTGGGTAGAGACACCTAAGATTGCATTCTGAGTCATGCTAGTGGTGAGGATAATATGTATATTTATTAATATAAGCATTGTTTTATTAACACCAGCACTTTATGTGCTATATATATTATCCCTCATTGGCAACATTGGAGTTTCATTGCAAAACATAATATTCAGGTGCTGGGTAGAGACACCTAAAGATTGCATTCTGAGTCATGCTAGTGGTGAGGGATAATATGCATATTTATTAATATAAGCATTGTTTTATTAACACCAGCACTTTATGTGCTATATATATTATCCCTCATTGGCAACATTGGAATTTCATTGCAAAACATAATATTCAGGTGCTGGGTAGAGACACCTAAAGATTGCATTCTGAGTCATGCTAGTGGTGAGGGATAATATGCATATTTATTAATATAAGCATTGTTTTATTAACACCAGCACTTTATGTGCTATATATATATCCCTCATTGGCAACATTGGAGTTTCATTGCAAAACATAATATTCAGGTGCTGGGTAGAGACACCTAAAGATTGCATTCTGAGTCATGCTAGTGGTGAGGGATAATATGCATATTTATTAATATAAGCATTGTTTTATTAACACCAGCACTTTATGTGCTATATATATTATCCCTCATTGGCAACATTGGAATTTCATTGCAAAACATAATATTCAGGTGCTGGGTAGAGACACCTAAAGATTGCATTCTGAGTCATGCTAGTGGTGAGGATAATATGCATATTTATTAATATAAGCATTGTTTTATTAACACCAGCACTTTATGTGCTATATATATATCCCTCATTGGCAACATTGGAATTTCATTGCAAAACATAATATTCAGGTGCTGGGTAGAGACACCTAAAGATTGCATTCTGAGTCATGCTAGTGGTGAGGGATAATATGCATATTTATTAATATAAGCATTGTTTTATTAACACCAGCACTTTATGTGCTATATATATTATCCCTCATAGGCAACATTGGAATTTCATTGCAAGACATAATATTCAGGTGCTGGGTAGAGACACCTAAAGATTGCATTCTGAGTCATGCTAGTGGTGAGGATAATATGCATATTTATTAATATAAGCATTGTTTTATTAACACCAGCACTTTATGTGCTATATATATTATCCCTCATTGGCAACATTGGAATTTCATTGCAAAACATAATATTCAGGTGCTGGGTAGAGACACCTAAAATATAAGCATTGCATTCTGAGTCATGCTAGTGGTGAGGATAATATGTATATTTATTAATATAAGCATTGTTTTATTAACACCAGCACTTTATGTGCTATATATATTATCCCTCATTGGCAACATTGGAATTTCATTGCAAAACATAATATTCAGGTGCTGGGTAGAGACACCTAAAGATTGCATTCTGAGTCATGCTAGTGGTGAGGGATAATATGTATATTTATTAATATAAGCATTGTTTTATTAACACCAGCACTTTATGTGCTATATATATTATCCCTCATTGGCAACATTGGAGTTTCATTGCAAAACATAATATTCAGGTGCTGGGTAGAGACACCTAAAAGATTGCATTCTGAGTCATGCTAGTGGTGAGGGATAATATGCATATTTATTAATATAAGCATTGTTTTATTAACACCAGCACTTTATGTGCTATATATATTATCCTCATTGGCAACATTGGAATTTCATTGCAAAACATAATATTCAGGTGCTGGGTAGAGACACCTAAAGATTGCATTCTGAGTCATGCTAGTGGTGAGGGATAATATGCATATTTATTAATATAAGCATTGTTTTATTAACACCAGCACTTTATGTGCTATATATATTATCCCTCATTGGCAACATTGGAATTTCATTGCAAAACATAATATTCAGGTGCTGGGTAGAGACACCTAAAGATTGCATTCTGAGTCATGCTAGTGGTGAGGGGATAATATGCATATTTATTAATATAAGCATTGTTTTATTAACACCAGCACTTTATGTGCTATATATATTATCCCTCATTGGCAACATTGGAATTTCATTGCAAAACATAATATTCAGGTGCTGGGTAGAGACACCTAAAGATTGCATTCTGAGTCATGCTAGTGGTGAGGGATAATATGCATATTTATTAATATAAGCATTGTTTTATTAACACCAGCACTTTATGTGCTATATATATTATCCCTCATTGGCAACATTGGAATTTCATTGCAAAACATAATATTCAGGTGCTGGGTAGAGACACCTAAAGATTGCATTCTGAGTCATGCTAGTGGTGAGGGATAATATGCATATTTATTAATATAAGCATTGTTTTTCATTAAAACACCAGCACTTTATGTCATGCTAGTGGTGAGGGATAATATGCATATAATTATCCCTCATTGGCAACATTGGAGTTTCATTGCAAAACATAATATTCAGGTGCTGGGTAGAGACACCTAAAGATTGCATTCTGAGTCATGCTAGTGGTGAGGGATAATATGTATATTTATTAATATAAGCATTGTTTTATTAACACCAGCACTTTATGTGCTATATATATATAACCCAACATTGGCCCTCATTGGCAACATTGGAATTTCATTGCAAAACATAATATTCAGGTGCTGGGTAGAGACACCTAAAGATTGCATTCTGAGTCATGCTAGTGGTGAGGGATAATATGTATATTTATTAATATAAGCATTGTTTTATTAACACCAGCACTTTATGTATATATATTATCCCTCATTGGCAACATTGGAATTTCATTGCAAAACATAATATTCAGGTGCTGGGTAGAGACACCTAAAGATTGCATTCTGAGTCATGCTAGTGGTGAGGGATAATATGCATATTTATTAATATAAGCATTGTTTTATTAACACCAGCACTTTATGTGCTATATATATTATCCCTCATTGGCAACATTGGAATTTCATTGCAAAACATAATATTCAGGTGCTGGGTAGAGACACCTAAAGATTGCATTCTGAGTCATGCTAGTGGTGAGGGATAATATGTATATTTATTAATATAAGCATTGTTTTATTAACACCAGCACTTTATGTGCTATATATTATCCCTCATTGGCAACATTGGAATTTCATTGCAAAACATAATATTCAGGTGCTGGGTAGAGACACCTAAAGATTGCATTCTGAGTCATGCTAGTGGTGAGGGATAATATGCATATTTATTAATATAAGCATTGTTTTATTAACACCAGCACTTTATGTGCTATATATATTATCCCTCATTGGCAACATTGGAATTTCATTGCAAAACATAATATTCAGGTGCTGGGTAGAGACACCTAAAGATTGCATTCTGAGTCATGCTAGTGGTGAGGGATAATATGCATATTTATTAATATAAGCATTGTTTTATTAACACCCTCATTGGCACTTTATAATATTCAGGTGCTATATATATTATCCCAGCACTTTATGTGCATTATATTATCCTCATTGCAACATTGGAATTTCATTGCAAAACATAATATTCAGGTGCTGGGTAGAGACACCTAAAGATTGCATTCTGAGTCATGCTAGTGGTGAGGGATAATATGTATATTTATTAATATAAGCATTGTTTTATTAACACCAGCACTTTATGTGCTATATATATTATCCCTCATTGGCAACATTGGAATTTCATTGCAAAACATAATATTCAGGTGCTGGGTAGAGACACCTAAAGATTGCATTCTGAGTCATGCTAGTGGTGAGGGATAATATGTATATTTATTAATATAAGCATTGTTTTATTAACACCAGCACTTTATGTGCTATATATATATCCCTCATTGGCAACATTGGAATTTCATTGCAAAACATAATATTCAGGTGCTGGGTAGAGACACCTAAAGATTGCATTCTGAGTCATGCTAGTGGTGAGGGATAATATGCATATTTATTAACATACTTAATAGCTCTGCTATATTACATTGAGCACTATTTTATTAACACCAGCTCTTAATGTGCGAGATATATATATATATATATATGTAAAATCTCTTTACCACAATGGATGTTATATTTAGTGTATGAAATTTGTATGTGAATGTATCAACTTTTCTACAGAAATATAAGGGTATTTTCAATATAATGTATTTAGATATGATATATTACGATGATTCATAAGTAATTTCTATTTTTTGAGAACCAACTGTAATGACAAATATATCATTCTAACTACTAATCATGTGGTAGATATAAATAAATTTAGAGGAGACTAACATATCTTATTTTTGTATGGCAGTGGCAGCGTACACAGTGGATTAAAGAAAAATGTTGTTCTCCATGACAACACAAGGCTGCATACAGCACAAATAACATGGGGGGAAAATTTAAAATCTCAGTTGGTCTTGCACCAGCTAATTTTATCCTTTTCCAGTCACTGAAGTTGTATATTCAGAAGGCATCAAAGAGCTGTCTGATAAGTAGCAATAAGTTATTGAAAATAATGGTGGATATATAATTGAATAAAATGTAATTGTACTTTATTTTTCATGAAGAAAAATGTTAATTATTTATGACTCAACATAATAAAATATCAAAATAAGTAATTTATTTTTATTAGGGTATTTTTTTTTTTCCCCCCTTAGAGTCAACAAGATTTAACTTTGCTGGATTTAGAAGCTGATCAACTGACCAAAAAACCTGAAAAAGCCAGGAAACCTGCATCTGTTCAAAATTCTTCCAAAGAAAATTTTGAAACAAAAACTTGTCCTTGGAAAAGAGAAAATGGAGGCATTTGGGATTCTCCTTTCCTTGCTGCTGAGCGGGGTATGGATGCAGTGTTCACAAATAAACTTGTTGATCTGAGCTCTTCTGCTCCAACCACATCAATAATTAGTCAAGAAGTGGCAAACCAAGAATTGAAGGAGAAGAAATCAGTGAAAGAAGTGAAGAAGCGGCCTACCCCACCTCCTCCACCACCTCCAAACACAACACCAAAGCGAGTTGATTATCATACAATACCATTGCCAGATTCTCATCCAAAAAAATCTGGCCATCGAAAAAGCTATCGGTCTTCAAAGACTGAAGTGACAGAAGTCTCTCCCCAGAAATCTCTTTCAAAAACTGAAAATTCAGATGAGAAAAAACGTGATTCAGGGAGATTTGGCAATGCTAACCCAACAGAATCGTCAATGTCCAAAAGCAATCTGGCATTTAGTACTAGTGATGAAAAAGAGTTTGTGATCGACTCTGCTCTTAAAGACGTTGATGAGAGTTCCACTGTTGAAAGGTCATATTTTATTGGGGAGAAAGCCACAAATGGTGCAGAAGCTTTCTTAACTGAACCAAAAGAAATGCTCATTACAGGACGAGATGAATACTTTGTTGCTGATGAAGATGAGGAGACGACCTCATTTTCATCCCAGAATGATGAATCACAGTCTTTACTGAAAACAGATTCAGAATTTGAGAAAGCCAACTTGAGTGCCGTGACATCAAAAGATCCTCCTGCTGACAAAGAAGAAACAAATTCAAAGGTTTGTATTTGATATTTTTCATTTCTACTTTAAATTTGTTTAAAGAAGAGCAGAATACCCCCCCTCCCATGTAGACGAATTTTGGAGAATCACTAGGAAATCAATGGGAGCAAATCATCTGCGCTTATTATTAATGGTCCTTGAGTCATTTCATCTTCATCAAACAAAGCAAAGCTCATACCTCCAGTTCCACACTAGACAACCAGGACCATCCCCTATTTGACTTCTCTCTTTTCATATAGCACAAGCTTTGAGAACTTGCTATCTTGGCCCAGGGAGTTTTCAGGCTCATCAAAAAACCTTAATTTTTCAAATATTATTGATCCAGATAAAATCTCTGTTATTGTACTTAAGAGCCTTTGCCCAAAATTATCCCTAGTCCTGGCAAAGTTTTTTAACAGTTGCCTAAAACAAAAATGATTCCAAATCTGTGGAAATTTCTGTCTGTTCCATGCTTTGAGTGTCTCTTGGGTTCACTCCAGACTTCTTCAAGTGGAACTTGTATATACTATCCTTTGCCAAAGATACTAAAGTAATCCTCAGGTCATTCTATAGCTTCAAGAAGTATCTGACTCTTTTGACCGTGCTTTTTCTTCACACAAGTCAAATTAGACCAAAAATGGAGTGTTGCTGCTACCTTCATTTCTTCAATGTTCCAAATGTAAGAAGCTCCCCTAAGTTAGCTTTTTCCACAAGAACCAACACATTTTGGAATAGACATCTATGGAAGTGGTTAGCTGTTTGCCTTGTTTTCAAGAATGCTGTTGAGCATTCATTTCCAGTGCAATATCACCACATGAAACACCTTAGAATCATTAGCAAACTCTTTGAGTCCATTATAAATAAGGAGGTAGTTGATCACCTCACCAGAAATAAATGTGATAAACAATATGCTTTTAACCTTTTAACATAAGTATAGTTTATAAATACAAATATTAACTACAACTTCTGACACAACTATAATGTTAAACAAACTTAATTTCACTACAAAATAATAATGTACAAATATAAAATTCCACCCCTACTTGATTCGGTATTAGATGACTCAATAGGTGTTGATATGCTATTAACCCCTTCCCCAGCACAGCCATGTATATACATTTTTACCAAAACCATCTTTTATAGGCATGAATGAATAAACACGTTCAAAAACTAGCTACAGACATGTTTATATGTAAATTTTGATTCTTTTTATGCCCTTCTGAGCTTAAAATGAATCCAATTGTCAACTCCTACACCTGGTAAAGGTGTTATCCACCACTTGGGTCGTTCAAAGTGCTTCAGTTTCTTAGCTACTATATTAAAAATAAGTAAAAAAAAACATTTATCTGAAAATAAAACATTTTCCCAAAATAACTAGCAGGGTAGGGGTGAAACCAACCAAACTCTATGGATTTTTTTGCCCCTCTATCAACTGCTGATGTTTTAACTGTCATCACTCATAGAATTCATGAAGTGCTTGAGTGTAGATTTTGTTACCAGAGTGAGCTTTTAACAAAATGAGGAATGAGGATGGAAGTTGCTACAGAAATTTTCCAGTTATGGCATCTCTGGAAGAATTTATTTAATCATCTAGTACTTTCTCTCAAGTAGTTCCATGAAGGTTGTTGTGAATGGCTAATCTTCTCAGATCATTAGTAAACATCTATACAGATGATATGACTGTTTATGGATGCACTTCCAAAAAGCAAAATGATCAGGGTCTTGCAGTTGATTTCTCTCCTGATCTTGCCCTAACTGCTCAATAGGAAAATAATTGGCTTGTAACTTTCAGTACCTGAAAAACCAAGCTGGTATATCATCACTGATCAGACCCCGAGTTTTCTCCAGTCACAATAAACAATTCCATTCTGAATGAGGCTTCATGCTCTGAGTGTCTCTTGGGTCTCAAGTTCACTCTAGACTTCAAGTGGAACTCGTATATACAATCCATTGCCAAAGATACTGGAAAAATGGTTAGCTTGTTCTATTACTCCAAGAAGTATGCTTTATCTTTACATTAATCAGATTAGACCAAAAATAGTGTTGTTGCCGGCTTCATTTCTTCCATGTTCCAAATCTAAGAAGAAAGTTCTACTCAGCTTTTTCCCGAGAACCAACACTTTTTAGAACAGACACCTGCATATTTTGGTTAAAATTACTTCTTCATTTCTCTTTCAATATAATTCACCTCACCTCACGTTACCTGTTAACCATTAGGGTTGTAAAGGCATCACATGTACTGCAGCCATAACAACAGTGATATGCCTTGGGAAAAATAGCCTGATGAAGCCTATCCCTTTTCAGGATGGTTTTGAATTCAGTTTTCCTTCTAGATTGGTTGTCACCTCAAGGAAAAAACTCAGTTTGCAGTGTTATTTAATTCATGTCTGGTAGAAGATGGATTTATGTTTTTTTCCAAGGGTAATAGTACAAAGTCAACAAAACAGAATCAAGCAGGACTTGAACTCGGCATACTGAATTCACTTTCCACACTGATAGTCTTTACACAATCTGCACCTACATCAATATAAGTACCCTTATATATTGTTGTAAAGCAAAATTGGGCTCAATTTGGAACTCCCTTCAAAAATGTGCAAATCACTTTTTCCATAGTTCTTAATTTTGAAATATGTTGGTGAATTATTTTTATCAATTTGCTTTATTTTCTCTACATGTCTAATAAATTAAATTTCCCAAATTGGACAAAAAAATTATGATTTAGAAAGGAAATGTATATTTCTTCAAATAAAGGGTCTTTTTTTTATTTTGTTAATTAGATTTGTCTCTGCATACTTGTAAAATTTTGATCTTTTTTTTTTTTTTTTTTTTTTTTTTTACATCAAGGTTTGCCCCTTTGCAAGGCAAGGCCTGGGGACCACTCGAGGTAGAGCTTGGAGGCCATTTGTGTGTATAGGAGTGAAAGATAATGGTTAACCCTAGCATTGAACAGGTTAAGATTGTAGTGAGCGGAGAAACATCCTGTTGGGAGTCAGTTCTACAGGGCAGTGGTTTGCAGGGAGAAGCTGTTTGAGTGGAACTTACTTCTCACTGATGGGATATGGGGTGGGGAATGTGGGTGGTTTGCTACTATGTAGGTGGCATGGTATGTTCTTGCCATAAAGTTTGTATCAGCAGGACCAAGGAATGTATAGTTTGCCTAAGCACTTTCTGTGGAAGTAGTGGTAGAGCAGTGAAAGGCTTGCCACATCCCTACTATGAGAGAGAAGTTGAAGCGTGGAGAATAGTTTGTCACCCACAAGGACTTGGAGATATTTTGAACTCTATCAAGACTGGATAACGAGGTCTGGGCAGTTCCCACCCAAATATGACAATAGTACTCCATTTTTGGCCTGATCTAAAGGTAGAGAATAGCAGGAGGGGCCACATACTTACTGGTACCTGTATTCTTAGCAATGGATCATATGTATGAATTCCACTTGAGATCGGGTGTGAGTTTGAGGCCCAATAGTCTTTCAAGTCATGGTTCTTCCCCAAGAGGACCTCCACTTATCCAGGTTGGTGGAAGTTCGGGGTCAGATCGGCAATGATAGACTGTAACTAGTTTGTTTTTTGAGGCATTGAATGTAACCAGCCAGTTTTACCCCATTGGGTAGTTTGTGCAAGATCAAAAGGCAGTTCAGTTGCCAATCTCTGACCATCAAGAGTTTTAAAGGTGCACCCATATATAGCCGTATCATTGGCATAGATGTTTACAAATCATCTGAGTATATTCTTAGGCATTCTCATTTATGTAGATGATAAAGAGGGTTGGTCTATTGAGTGACTCCTAGGGGACACCTGCATTGACCTCTAGGGCTCCAGAGGACTTGCCATTGAAAACTACCTTTAGGGGACTTGCCTATTAGGAAGGATTTTATGATTGAAAAGACACTTCCAATAACATCTTTGTTGCATTGATCATTACAGCTTTGTTGAATGTGGCCTTCAATGTATAAATTATATTGCTAATCATAAAGCTTTGTAAATTATGAAAATATTCAGGGAGTGGAGAATTCACAGAAAAATATCAATGAACCCAACCACTTTGTTGTATTTGTAGATTTTTCATAAAGAATTTCTAAAATTTCATTTAATACTCTGTTCTAGATAACATTATTCAGGCTATTGTCCTCATCTTTGTTGCTATATTTATTACGTTTCAGCTGCTGTATGCTCCTGCTTTCTTCAGGTGGTTGGAATGTCGAACTGAACCCTTTATTTTGCTCACTGGGGTAGACTGTTCTAGTTCGATGTCTAATGGATGTCGGTTATCAGTTATCTCCTGTTAATTCCCCTCTCCACCTCTACTGAACTCACATTCTTTGGCTCCTGTCACGAGATCTAACGCCTTTATCCACTGTGCCATGTGTCATTGAGGTCATCTCTGTATGAACTTCTGGGTATTAAAAACCTAATGTCTTCAGCAATCATTTTTTACCAATGCTCATATTGCAATTTTTGCTGTTATCAATCCATATTTTTACCAGAGCTCATATTGCAATTTTTGTTGTTATTATCACTTTTCTCTGGCACTCTTTATTACTGGTTCCCAGAATTTAAATTTGTAAACATAAGGAATCAGCACATATGCTAGGCCACAAAAATCTCCTGAGCCGACCAAGCATAGAAATAAATAGAATATGGGAACCAGCAATAAGGAGTGCCAAAGAAAAGCAATAATAACAATAAAAATTGCAATATGAACGCTGGTAAAAAATTGCAATAAGAGCTCTGATAAAGGCATTAGTTAGATCCAGTGACAGGACCCAAAGAGTGTGAGTTCAATACCTGGTTAAGGCGGTGGAGAACTTGGAGAGGGAATTAAGCAGGAGATAACTGATAACTGACATCCATTAGACATGGCATGTGGAACTAGAACAGTCTACCCCAGTGAGTGAAATAAAGGGTTCAGTTCAACATTCCAACCACCTGAAGAAGGCGATAAAGATGAGGACAATAGTCCGAATAATGTAAATAGTGTACATAATACCTCATCTCAGAAATAGATGCTCTAGATAAATTGCCCAAAACAATGGCATAATATGAGTGCTGAAAACAATCTTTTAGACAAATTTGCTTGCATTATAAGTTACTATGGCCTTTTTACTAAACTTTCTTTGTCCTTGGGTATTGTTTGTGTTGTCTGTATTGATAAATGAACAGTACATTGCTGAAATCTCAAAAATAAAACAATTGGGTTGGGAGAGGAACCTTATGTCTTTTTGTGTTCTATTTTTTGTTATTTATTTATTTTTTCTTATTTTGCTATTTCAGAGGGATTCTCAAATTCCAATGACTGGTTTTGATTTTCTGGATGATTGGTAAAGAATTTCCCTCTCTCTTCTGGGATTGTCCCTGCAACAGGATCTAAAGATCATATTTAAAAAAAAAAAAAAAAAATCACTATAAATTATCGAAACAATGCGTACAATTTTTGTGTGTGTGTGTGTGTGTGTGTGTGTGTAAAATTTCAGATATAAAATATATCTATAAAATGGTAATGTGAATGATAAAAACTAAAGGAAAACTTATCCACTTTGTTTCATCCTCTGCTGAACTTTATCAAGGCAAATGTAAGGATTTTATTTTGTAATGAGTATTTATAAACAAAAGTAAGTTTTCAAATTCAAGAACGCTCATAAATATTCATCAGGCAAACCAAAAAGTCTAGGTAAATTATGGACGATGCTAATTGATGTAGTGTAATGTCTAAAAATAAATACTTGTTGCAAAATAAAATTCTTATCTTTGCCTTGATAAATTCCATCAGAGGATGAACTGCATCAGCTAAAATAAGTTTTCCTTCTGTCTTTATGATATATGTAAGGATTGCTACAAAAAAGTATTCTGTTCAAGCCACTTCCTAAAATCAGTATTCTAATGATCTTTGAAATACAGTCTGAAGAAGTTAGATAGGCTGATAACTTTTCGGCACCCCTACTCTCTTCATGAACTTGATTTGAATAGAACTGAGTAGAAGTGTTGTTGTTGTTGTTGTTTATATTAACTCATTTCATTTTATATGACCCAGATTTCATTTCATTTATTTTTCAAAACTTTAACAAACTTCCATTGAGTAAGCAGGGGTGAGGATTTTTTAAAACAGAAATAAAATACGATATAGGTTAACAGTCAGAAGTAATTGCCTTTTCCAACAAAGATTTAAAGAAAAAAAAAATCTTCATGACTGTTTTCCTGGTTCACTTGTTTACTTTGAGTGAACAAGTTCCCCTTTCTTGACTGCAAATAAATTTATTTCCTTCATTATTATCTGAATAGAGTTTTTCTTTTTGACAAAATACTTTGAAGAAATTTTAATATTGAGTACTGATTGATCTAACATCGATACAACTTAACAGAAAACTTATATCAGTTTTCATTAAAAAAGATCAGTCAACTTATATTTTCTCCTAACCCAAAAATTCATCCGACTTTTGATAAGCTTAGTGATTGAGATAGTTTCCAAAACATTAAAATACATTACATTGTCATCTAATCTGCAGAATTGTGTTTGTGTGTGTGTGTGTGTGTATATATATATATATATATATATATATATATATATATATATGAAATGGACAAAGTCCAACAATTATTTTAAGACATTTTTATGTTTATACATTCTTTTTATAGATACAAATATTTAAGTAAATGCTCTGTTTATAATAAACGGTATTAAACAACATTTACTGGCCTGAATGTCCGAGAAATTTTCACAGAAAATATTCGTCCTCCGACAGGATTCGAACCTGTATCCTATACGGAACCATCATTTAGCTTGTTGTGCCTTTACCGATTTGGCCACAGGAGCATTCGGTTAGCAATTTCGAATTTACTGTATTTAAACTTCAATCTTCCATGAATATCTCACATACATTCATATCTGCTCATGGCGTATCAAATGTAAACAAATTATGAAATGGACAAAGTCTGACAATTATTTTAAGACAGTATATGCACGTCAAGCTAAATGACGGTTGCGTATAGGATACAGGTTCGAATCCTGTCAGAGGACGAATATTTTCTGTAAAAATTTCTTGGACATTCAGGCCTTTTAAATTTTTTTTAATACTATTTATTATAAATAGAGCATTTACTTAAATATTTGTACCTATAAAAAGAATGTATAAACATAAAAATGTCTTAAAATATATATATATATCTTTCATTAATATGGCATAAAAGGAAGATTTAATCAATTTTTTTATATAGTTTTTCCAGTATCCTTATATTTTGTAAGAAAAACATGCTGAGGTTACTGGAAAAACTAAAAAAAAGAAATTAAATCTTCCCTGTCATAGTTAATGAAAGATGTTTAAAAAAAAGGTTGCTGCCCATATATATATATATATATATATATATATATATATATATATATATATATATATATATACATGCACACTGTATATTTCTGTGTATAAGACGACCTTTAAATCACCAAAATCAACCGTAAAAATTGGAGGTCATCTTATACTACAATCCTAAAAAAAAAAAAAAAGAAACCTTAAATTCTGAGTAATGTTTGTTAGTAGGCTAACCTCGGCCTCAGTGTAATAACCAATAATGTATAGGAAAAGATTCACATTAGCAAAACAACTAATAACAAAAGTGATAAAACCATTTTTACCTTACATATTACTGACATAACTTCATGATAAATTGCCTATTCCAAGAATAATTCCATATCAATGAAATCAACTTGTATCAATGCAAGCTCAACTGAGAAAATGTAAACATTGCATTATGATTGTGTTCATAGCAATCTTTATCTTTTGCTAAACTTTCAATAAAAGCGGAATGTACTATTATTGTACATTATCAGTAGTATTTTGTAATTGTCGATGAAGTTTAAGTAAATGTCCATTAGTAAGTACCCCATTTGTAACTGTTTAGATGTAGTAAAAGAAGAATCAGGTATTCACAAGAGATCACATGATAAAACATAAACAAAACTGGTTTCCCTTTTAGCGAACGTGTAGGAAAACATGACATAGAATCAGTTTCGTTATTTTTCAATTTCTAACGATACAGTAACATTTCCAATAAGATCATATTTATATAATCAATAAGCAGTCATTTTATACTACAGATATAGGATAAATTCATGAAAATTTGCTATATATTTTTTTTAACTTGTCTTATCTGAAGGTCACCTTATACATAGAAATATATGGTGTGTGTGTGTGTGTGTGCATATATATATATATATATATATATATATATATAAAAGTGAACATAGAAGTCAACATAGCAACGACAGTCTGTTTCATGATTGCTATATGCAAACAGACTGTCGCCTTGCATGTTGCTTTATGTTCACTTTTATATTCACACGCTCTATCTCTGATATTGAGCACTTTATCCCATAAATATAGCACACCTTAAGACTATATTTCTTTATATATATATATATATATATATATATATATATATGATGTCATAAAGAACAAATAGGAAATGTATATCAATCCAAAATATTTCACTTTTATTAAGGCTTTGTCGGAGATTGAGAGGAAAAAAGACAAAAACATTGGTATTTTCAATTCTGTTTGGGTCAGACACATGTATTAAAACTGTAGATAGATGTGTATGTAGATTTGTCAAGTATCTATGGTTTTAATATACATGGCACGTCTGACCAATGAGAACTGACCCAAACATAATTGAAAATACCAGTGTTTCTATCTTTTTGTCTGTTTTCTCTCAATCTCTGATGAAGCTTTAATAAAAGTGAAATATGTTAGATTGATGCATGTTTTCTATTTGTTCTTTATTTTATCATCCTGTCAGATTCCTTTCCATATTTGATCTTTAACTTATATATATTCAAACAGGTTTGGTTAAATAATTTAGACATATGTCAATTTATTTTTGTTGTGATCCTTTCAAGTTCACTGATTAATTTCTTTGTAGCTTTAGAAAATTGATTAAGAAAATGGTATCAGATGCAATTGAAAGTAATTGGAAAAATGAAAACTATTTGAAAGAAAATTTTGGTATTTTTCCTAATCCATTTTCTAAGGCTACCAAGAAATTAATACGTGAACTTGAAAGATCATAATGAAAATAAATCGATATGTCTAAATTATTTAACCAAACCTATTTGAATGAAAATATGCTATATATATATATATATATATATATATATATATATATATATGAATTTTGTCCAATTTATCCAAGCATATTTGCAAAAGGATATTTGTACATTAGGAAAAAAATATCATTAAATTTAGTAGCTGTAAAATGTCTACTGTTTTTAACAATGGATGTTTAAAAGAACCGTTGTTGCTCAAATATACTAAATTATGTCTTTCTTTTTTTTTTTTTACTATAACAATTATGTCACTAATGTTTACTTATATTTCAGCTTGCATCTTATACATGCAATAATTATGAGTTTAATGTTGGGTACTATATATAAAAACAATAATAATAAGGCCAGCCAAATTATTTTCCATTTGACTAAATCTGAAGGAGTCTATCTTTTAACATGATGTCTTCACTTTTCATGGCAGGTTTTTTCACATGTTTGTCAGAATATGAAGCACTCTTACCTGTACACCTTGAAATTGTTGCAACTATATTTACTGGTTAATGTGTATATACATAGAAGACTCATTATTTTTTTTTTTTTTTTTTTTTCACCCTCCCACCCCCCCTCCTTTTCATTGCACCTCATCCTGACCCTCTACTTGTGCCTTTGGTACATAGTCTCTCATCCGTAATACCAGTGAATTGGATATGGTGTAACATTTGAATTTTTCCCCTTTTAGTGGTAGGGGATGCATTTAATGCATTGTTAAATATGACAAATATCTATTCATGAACTCCAATGTCAATCTTGAATTTAACATAACTGATGTTTTTGATATACTGAGTGTAGAAATCATTAAAAAGTTGGAGTCACTTACACTCAATTTTTTAAAAGAGAATCTACTGCCTATATAATTAGTTATCCATCTGGTTCTGCTGAGGCAACTCTGTCCAGCAAAAAAATAAAAAAAGCTCTTCTGGAAAAGACCCACAAAACATCATAACAGGCTCCAACTTTCATATTGTGTATAAGAGTGGACAACATCTGTCACCCATATGCAAGAACTACATTGCAATCTGTTTGTTCAGGCTGGTGATACTACTTGAAAGCCTGGCATTCAGAACAAGCTTTTCAAGTCTGGCAGTTGTCAGTCTTTTATGAGAAATCATCAAAGAGATAACCTACCTGGAGTAAAGCCTAATATTTTTCTTAAATCATGTACTATTTTTATTTACTATTTTTATAATCTGTTGCTATTTAAATGGTATGATGCAGTATCATGATTTTT